ATGTGGGGAACCAGACGGGAGACTACTATAATATCTATAGCATTAACTAAGATAGTAATTGTGGGTGGGGAATGGAGATAGTGGCAGTTTTGAAACATCTTAGCAAATAAAATTTATAGGACTAATTGATAGAAAATGAGGATTAGGAGTGAAGGAATTAAAAATATAGTATCTTTCCCTTCTTTTAGATATGCAAGTACTTAACAGCAATCAAGTGACAAGTGGAAGAGATATTACAGATATCAGAAATAACTAGTAGAAATCCTTCACACTGAAGGTTAAACTAAAGCCATAGGTGATTTAGATAGTTTACAAAGTTTAAGAACCTCTGTTCAGCTTAACCTTGTTGGGGTCGGCGACCATTTTAGGCGTGAGCTTGCTGGTAGCCTGGGCACCCAAATTAAAGTTCTCTTCAGTCCCCAGGGAAGAAAAAAACAAAAAAAAAACAACCTCTGTTTCATATGATACTACTGGAATCTCTTCTCAAAAGATTTGAGTGTCATTAACTGGCCCATATGTAACAATTCCAAGAATATCTTCTATTTTAGGTGTTGAAAGTTTCTTACGGAAATTTATCATGTCATATTAGCAGAAACCAAGAAATTTAACTATACATCTATCAGACTTCCAGTAACTGCCTTGGCAAAAAGTCAAATGATATTTTAATCATTGTCAGATGCCATTCTTAGCAGGAAAAACTTTCCAGGAACAGAAGGTAAACTGAGAGAAGAATTGCATAATTCTAATCCAAATAACAAAATGTAAATACCTTGCCAGGTCTGTCCCACAGACCCTGGCCGACAGATGATATGAGTCCTCAGACAGAGGTATGCAGTGTAAGAGCAGCTAGGTAACCACCTAGCCCTAGTGGCCAGAGAGGCAGCCTCGAGAAGCAGGAGCTGCTTGCTTTTATTCAGTGTGTGCACAATACCAAAAACCTGGAGCAAACACCACCTGTAGGTAATTAACATTTATCATTCCCCTTTCAGGGAACGTCAGGCATGGGGATGATCAAAGGTCAGTTCCTGATCAATATAAGTAAGCAAGTATGTTTAAAATAAATTCCCCTGTACTCCCTTGAACTCCCTTGCCCTCTGCCTCTAGGTTATAGAGCAGCTGCCTTCAACTATTCTCCCCTGGGGCTCTGCAGAACCTTCCGACCTTTCCGGTTTGCATCCTTTCTCTATAGTTGTTCCCACCACTGTGACTGATCCCCCACAATACCTCCTATTCTGTTTCCAGTAACCACTGAATGAATATCGATTGAGGCAGCTCCAGAATGATGTAGGATGAATTTATAATTGGCCATGTAAACATATTAATTGCCCCATATTAAGCTCACAATATGTTACCACCTGGTTGCCATGCTACTAAAACAAGCCAGCTGTGGCACATTCTTTCCACCTGAGGGACTGATTTAATGCCACAGTCAACAGAAGACTGTATCTCTCCCAAGTTTGCGTGCAGATTTCTTGTAACAAATAATTTATAGCAAAAAGATGCCCGATTTTTGACAGCTTCCTAATGACTGAGAAGTTTAAAAATATCCTTAAATTTAAGCAAAAGAAAAAGGGGAGAGATTTACTACGAGAGAAGTTGACATTTTAGGGATAATGGTAACATGTAAATCCTAGAAATCTTCAAGAAAAAGTAAAAACACTAAGTGATTTCGTCTAGTCTTTATTCATGCAACAAGTATTTACAAAGTGCCTATTTTATATGTAACAGGTACTTTCTCTAAATGTGGGGGATACAGCAGTGAATAAGACAAGCAAAGTGAATCCTATGAACACCACAGTGGTAATTATTTAATAACCGGTTTTTCAGGTTTCTAGAGTTCTGTAGTTTAAATACTCCCACTGTGGCCAATTTCAAGCCACTGACATGGCATCACTGGGAAGCTGGGAGATGATGCATACACTTGGCTTTCATGAGCTGGTAGGAACCAGCTTTAGCACTCCTCTGGAACACTGGTCCAATGAGGCTTTCAGAAAAAGAAGGTGATTAAAATATGTAGAAATCTAAGTTTTGAGAAACACTATATCCCTTTGTTGTATGCTGTGTCATTCTCTTAGAGGTTTTTCAAACACTTTAGCTCAGCAAGGAGTCATACAGTAAAAACTTAAAATTATTTACCCGTGTTTCTCAAGGAGATTTGGCCACAACCCAGCTTGTTAGCCTGCATAATTTTTAAACTCATAATCAGCACCTAGAGAGTTGGAAAGTTGGCACATCTGACTGTGAAGAACTTAAATGTAAGGATCTCAAAATGTGTATGACTGGCAATACCAGGTATGCCTTATCTATTTCTAAGACGTTTAGGAAATGGTCAGATTTTATCTTGTTTTGTGAACTACATAAATCCTTTATTTTCTTTTTCTCAATTCTTTCTTGTTCATCCAGTTAAGTCTGATTGATGGGGGGAAAAAAAGTCAAACTGTCAGAGGCACTGGAACCAGATAACTCCATCTTGATCAGGGGCTGCGTAAAATAAGGCTGAGACCTACTGGGCTGCATTTCCAGAAGGTTAAGGCATTGTTGGTCACAAGATGAGATAGGAGATTGGCACAAGATACAGATTATAAAGACCTTGTGGATCAAACAGGTTGCAGTAAAGAAGCCGGCTAAAATGCACCAAAACCAAGATGGCAACGAGAGTCCCTCGGTCATCCTCACAGCTACACTCTCACCAGCACCATGACAGTTGACAAATGCCATGGCAACATCAGGAAGTTACCCTATATGGTCTAAAAGGGGGAGGCATGAATAATCTACCCCTTGTTTTGCATATAATCAGGAAACAACCATAAAAATGAGCAACTAGCAACCCTCGGGGCTTCTCCATGGATAGTCATTCTTTAATTCCTTTACTTTCCTGGTAAACTCACTTTTGCTTTACAGACTTGCCCTGAATTCTTCTGGCATGAGATCCAAGAACCCTCTTTTGGGGCCTGGATTGGGACCTGTTTCTGTAACTAAACCAGCTATTTTATATAACAACTTGACCAAAACAATAACTTAGAAAGGCTTTGGCAATATTGGTTTCAATTATGACTGGATCAATAATCGAGCCTCTTTTTTTCCAGAACAGCACAGATAACTGAGAAATTGTGATAAATGACTTACACCTTTATAACAGGCAAAATTGTGAAGATATTAATTTTCTTACTTGATATTTAAAAAACTGAGATTCAAAGCAAGGAACTAAATTAGAAAATATCCAGTAATGATTTCATATTGCAGGTTTAGAATGCATGTGATTCTGAAAAACCGTGATCTAACAAATAATGAAATTTCTCCTCTGAGGTTTTAGGAGAAGTCCAAAGTGGTGAAAGGATATTATACATGTTACATATAATATGTATTATGGTTTTATATATTATAAATAACATTTATTACATATATAAATGTTTATATATAAACTATGTAAACTACAAATAAAATCCTAAGCCCTCAACTGACTAAATGGACCCCTTTTTGGACAAGGGAACCCCAGAGAAACCTGAAAAACTGAATTCCCAGTCATGAAGTAACAGGGGGTCAGATATACCTCGCTATGTTCCCTCCCTTTTGGAGTTTAGGCACAACTAGCCAGAATTAACATTAAAATTGAGATTATAAGACTGGCAAAACAGACTCTTTGACTCTTTGTGGCAGTAAGATACTGAATTCCAACCTGACCCTGCTATAGCATCACATGACAGATAGTAAACCCTAGAAGAAATAGAAATATACCCCAAAATATATTTCTTGGACATGTTTTGAAATGGCCCTGCAAAGCTATCTTTGCAGGTGGAGATTAGCGTCTGTGGAGAATCTCCACTGAGGCAGCCAGGCCTCCCTTTCTAGCCTTGTCCTAGATCTAGAAAAGATAAAATGAAAGTGTGACACCTTTAAGGTTTGAAAAGAGACATTTATTATCTATTCTCTCTGATGGTTGTTACCTATGAGTCTTCATCTACATAAGAACCTTGGTGCCGACAATGCCTCTTAACTTGAGCATTTATTTCTACTGACTTAAAGTCTAAAAACAAAGTTTTAGTTTTTCAAACAATTGCCAATCAGAAAAATCTACCTATGACCTGTAACCACCCTCACTTCCCTGCTTCAAGTTATTTCACCTCTTTAGGTTGAACTAATGTAAACCTTCCATGTATTGATTATGTCTTTGCCTGTAACTCCTTCTCCCTAAAATGAGTAAAGCCAAACTGTAACCCGACCACCTCAGGCATACTTTCCTAGGACCTCTTGAGACTGTCCTTGAGCCGTGGTCACTCATATTGGCTCAGAGTAAATCTCTCTAAATATGTTACAGTTTTATTTTTCTGTTAACAAATACGTGTGTTTGTGTCTGTCTGTGTGTGTCCCTGAGTTTTGCTTTGGGATCAAGACTCTAAAAGGTATATATTGTGAACCCCCAAATTTGACATGGGTCTCAGTTAATTTAGAAAGTTTATGTTGCCAAGGTTGAGGATGCGCATCCATGACACAGCCTCAGGAGGTCCTGATTACATGTGCCTGTAAGGCTTAATTATCGGTTCGAACCCGAGAGCCGACAACCAACAACACAAGGCGATGTGTAGTAACACGCAGTTTTAATGAGCTCCTGGGTGCAGGTGGGCTGAGACCTAATCCTGTAAACAGTCAGTGTCCCAGTCTGATGTAACTGCTACATGGTACCTGGATGGCCTTTTTCTCAATCTTCTTCAGGGGGTACGTGTCTTTGGCCAGTTCTCTTCTGACTTCTGCTATCTTGCTGATGCTCGCTGCTGGCACAAGTGGCCTTGCACCGTGGGACCCGGCCTGAGAAGGGAGGAGTTACTCATTCCCCTAAGCTTTCAGGCCCCAGGAAAAATCTTTCATTCCTGTCTATTTGGTTATAAAAAAAGGGAAAAGGGACGACTTTCTCAATAATTACTTCAGGCATGACATAGGGGGTGGCATGGGCACCTTGGAAAAAAGAAAAAGAGAACTTAATTAGGGGGGTATTTTTGAGAGACAGGTTGGCATCCATCACGTTGTCGTAGCAGGAGGATCGTCTGGATTGTCTGGTGGTTAACTTTAAGGACTGTTTTTTCTGTTTGGGTTATCATACACAGGGACTCTGAGTGTGTTGCCTGCTGCTGACGTTTTGGAGGACGAAGTAGTCTTGGGGGCAAGCTTGACCTTGGTTTGATGGATCCAGCCGGGGAGTCCTTGGACTCTCACTGCAATTGGCATGCTGAGTCTCACAGTGTAGGGGCCTGTCCACTTCCATTGTAACTTTTTGTGAGGGTCGAGATAAACACATCCGTGTCTGGAAGACAGTTAGGGTAAGAGGACAAGGAGGTGTCGACAGGCAGAGATGTGGCCTCATTTGCTGCTTCATGAATGAAAGACCGTGTCTGGATTAGGGAGGGGAGGTAATTCCCGAGTGGCTCAGAGTCTGGTAAGGGTGGAGGCCCTAAGAGAAAAGTTTGCCCATACATGATTTTAAAGGGACTATAAAAACACGGTGCTTTTGGTGTTACATGGAGTCCCATGAAGGCAAAGGGAGACTTTTTTGTCCATGACTGGAGGGTTTCTAGAGCCAGCTTGGGGAGTTGGGCTTTGAGGACAGAGCTGACTTTTTAAACTTTGCCTGAAGATTAAGGCCTATAGAGTGTGTGGAGAACCTATTTTATTCCTAAGGATGTAGTGACGCCTTGGGTAATTTGGCTGAAAAGGGTGGGTCTGTTATCGGACTGGATGGATATTGGAAGTCCGAAACAGGGAATTATATGTATGATGAGAGTTTGCCTGACAGTATTTGCACATTTTGAAGTTGTTGGAAAGGCTTTTACCCACCCAGAGAAAGTGAAGACAAAGACCAGAAGATAGTGGAGCCATTTATTGGGTGGCACGTGAGTGAAGTCTATTTGTCAATCTTGCCTGGGAACCTGGCCCTGTGCTTGGTGGGTAGGAAAAAGCAGCGGCCGGAGGGAGCCCTGGAGTGACACTGAGTGGCAGATAGAGCAGGACTGAGTAATCTCTCAAACACGTCTGGAAAGGTGAGGACAAGTGAGAATAGGGTGGAGGAGTTGCAAGAGAGGTCTGTAACCAACCTGGAAAGAGTTGTGGAGGCTTTGGAGGATAGGGATTGTTTGAGAGTGAGGAAGCACGAAGCGCCCTTCCTTGACATACTATGGTCCCTGCTTTTGAAGGTCTGGGGCTTGGAAGTGCACCTTTTCTTTTAAGGAGCAAAGAGGGGAGAATGAGGACAGGGACAGAAACTGGCCTCGTACAGGTTGTAGGGCTACTTGTTTGGCTGCCTGATCTGTTAGAGCATTTCCAGCCGATACTGGATTGTCTGGGGTTTGGTGATCCCTGCAATGGATGATGGCAACTTTCTGCGGGAGTCTGGCAGCTTGAAGGAGTTTGCAGATGAGAGAGCCATTTAGGACAGGAGTGGGTTTTTTTGTAGTTAGGAAACCCCATTCTTTCTAGATGAATGAGTATGAGTGCACTATGGAACGTATAGCAAGCATCTGAATGTATGTTAATTTGTTGTCTGGCTGCTAGAGTGAGAGCTCCAGGTGAAGGCAATGAGCTCAGCGTTTTGGGAGGTGGTGCCTATGGGGAGTGGATTGGCTTCAGTAGTATGGGGGGTGACACCGTCGCATAGCCAGCATGTCGGTGTCCTTGACATAGGAAGGAGCTGCCAACTACAAACTAAGTAAAGGAGGCATCTGGAAGAAGTTGGTCTGTTAGGTTTGGAAAGGGTGTAAGAAAGGTTTGAACAGTGTCTACACAGAAGTGTGCGGGGTTTTGGGAGTTAGTAGCTTCAGGTAAGAGAATAGCCGGGTTTAGACGAGAGCTGGTTAGCATGGTGATTTGGGGAGTTTCTGTGAACAAAGCATACAGTTGGAGGAGCCATGGGGCAGAGATGAGACTTAGTACACTGTAGTAAGCTAACATGTCTTTGATGTCATGGGTTGAATAAACTTAGGTTTGCATGAAGGGATAGCTTTAGGCTTTCAAAGATGAGAACAGCAGCTGCTGCTGCCAATGCTTGGAGACAGCCAGGCCACCCAAGAACAGTGGCTTTAAACTGTTTAAAGAGGTAGGTAGGCAATAACCTGGAGGGTGGATCCCTTTGACTGGGTTAGAAGACCTAGTGCAACTCCACGCCGTTCATCAGTAGAGAGGGAGAAAGGTTTGGCAAGGTCTGGGAGAGTGAGTCCGGGGGCTGAGGTGAGAGCCTTTTGGAGTAGACAGAAAGGCTGGGTAATAGGCTGTGTAGGATTAAAGGCTTATGGAGAGGGTCTTTGGCAGCTTGGTATAATGGTTTGGCAAGTAGAGTGAAGGAGGGAACCCAGAGCCTAAAGTATCCCACTAGTGCCAGAAAAGAGAGAATTTCTTGTTTAGTTTGTGGAGGCAGGAGGGACTGGAGGAGAGATACATGGTCAGTTGTGAACCTTGGGTTTGCAGAGTAAGAGCTAGGCCTAGGTAAGTGACTGAGGAGGTGAGTATTTGTGTGTTTTTAGGGGAGACCTGATGCTCCGTTTCTGTTAAGAAGTTTAAAAGAGATAGTATGGGTATTGCAGTCTTTTTGAGAGGGGCTACACAAGAGCAGATCATTAACATATTGAAGGAGAATGGACAGTTTTAGGGATAAGGTACAGAGGTGGCAAGGAAGGGCCTGTCCAAAAAGGTGGGGTTTATCCTTGAAACCTTGAGGCAGTACACACCAGGTGAGCTGGTGTGAAAGGTGGGTGTCAGGGTCTTCCCATGTTAAGGCAAAGAGGTTCTGAGAATCAGGGTGCAAAGGAATTGTGAAAAAAGCATCCTTTAGACCAAAAACGGAAAAATGGGTGGTATTGAAGGGAAAGTAGTGTATGGGTTAGGAACTACTGGACATACTGGGAGCACAGTTTGGTTAATGATCCTGAGGTCCTGGACTAGGCGCTAAGTTCTCTCTGGCTTTTTAACAGGTAGAATTAGTGTGTTAAAAGGGGAGTTTGTTGAGCAGAGTAGGTGACTGGTGAGGAGTGGGAAATGACAGACTTTAGGCCTATGAGAGCCACTTGAAGAATTGGATACTGCTTCTGTGATAAGAACTGGGTGGGAGTTTTAAGGGTGATGTGGATAGGGGTGTGGTGTTTTGTGACTGAGGATGTGGAAGAATCCTAAAGAGCAGAGTTAACTACAGATGGGGGGATAAGGAAAGGTTAGGAGGCTGGAGGAGTAGAAGAAAGAAGAACCAGAGGCATCTGGGTGGATGTGTTGGATACTATAGGGAACGTGGAAGTGGAGAGTAGTGTGGAGTTTTAAAAGGATGTCTCTGCCTAGGAATGGAGCTAGGCATGAGAGCAGAACTAAGAAAGAGTGAGTGAAGGAAAAGGTGTGTAGGGAGCAGAAGAGTGGAGGGGTGGCTTGGGGTTTGGAGAGTTGTCCATCAATTCCTACAACAGAAACTTGGGAGGACTGGGTGGATCCTGATAAGTTAGGTAAAGCAGAGTAGGTTATTCTGGAATTAATTTAAAAACATCCTGGCCTATATGTCACCATCAGAGTTACCCTTGGCTCGGATGAAGAGATGGTGGTTGCTGAGGCGTCCGTTCCAGGGCACCATCAGTCTTCAGTGGCAAGGCCAATGAGATCTGAGTAGAAGGTTTTGGTCAGCTCAGGAAGGGATGAGGGTGGTTCTTGTGGGGACCGCTCACAGTCTGACTTCCAGCGGAGTCCTCCACAGAGGAGGGCCACAGCCTGTTAGACTTACCTGGGTGTGAGCATTGTCTGTACTAGTGGCCCTCATTGACACACCTGAAAGAAACGCCAGGTGGAGGTGGATTACTAGGAGGCTTCTGTGGGGCCTGCAGGGCCCCTGGTGGCGGAGGCAAGCATTTGAAACTCTGCCTGTTTTTGTCTTTTACTTTTCTCATCATGATTATTAAAGACTTTGAAGGCTAAATCAAGAAGGTGTCACTGTGGGGTTTGAGGGCCGTCATCAAGCTTCTGAAGCTTGCCCCAAATATCGGGGTTGAATTAGGGGATGAACTGAAGGATTAAGATAGTGGTTCCTTTTGGGCTGGCTGAGTCTAGGTTGGTATACTTTCTCATGGCTTCAGTTAAATGCGAGAAAAAGAAGGCTAGGTTTTCATCAGGACCTTGGGTGATTTCTGAAAGTTTTCCCTAGTTGACTGTTTAATGGGCACCCTTTTTGAGTCCAATAAGGAGACACACAATCATGTGGTCTTGATGGCAGCATCCAGGGGCCTGTCTTGATGATCCTAGTGGGGGTCCTGGTTAAGGACTGCCTCTGCGCCTGTAGGCTGGGCAGGAGCCTGGTGGCGAATTGTATCAGCATGTGCCTGAGCTAGGGTCCAGATACAGTCCTGGTCTTCTGGGGTGAAGGTGGAAAAGAGGATAACATAGAGGTCATGCCAAGTTAGTTTAGAAGACTGGGTAAGGTACTGACACTCTTTAATATAAGAGGTAGTTTCTTCTGGAAATGAACTGAGTCTTTTGTTAGTTTCAGAGAGATTAAAACATGAACTTTTACAATACCTTCAGTTCCTGCTATGTCCTGAAGGGGGTATTCTAGCACAGACACTGAAGTAGGGGTGGGGCATGGGCCAAAGATGGCACCTGAGTGAGTATGGGCAGAAGAAAAGAAAAAACCTGGAAGTGGTTCTGGCTGAGGGTTCAAGGGAGAAGTGGGGTTGAGTTAATAGGCAGTGGAGGATAAATAGGGGCATAAGGTGGCAGGATGGGTTTACAGGCCTCAGAGGAGGGTGATGGGAGAGTACAAGTATGGGCAACACTAGAATTGTCCTGTGAAGAGGCTGGTGTAGGAAAATAAGTGGATACTTTTGGATGTAGTGCTGGCTGGGAAGATGGCAGCTGGGATGGTGGCGGCTGAGAAGATGGTGGCTGGGAAGACAGAGGAGGCTTGGGAGATTGGAGAAGGTGGTTGAGAGGGAGAGGTAGGGGCTGGGAGGAATGCACAGCAGTCTGCTGGATGGAATGAGGAAAAAGAGGTAGGGTCAGGAGGAGAAAGGCCATCTGGGCAGCAAGAATGGAGGAGAATTTGAACAGGCAAGCAAGAATTGTAGAGGTCGGGTTATGATCTGAGGGCAGGAAAGGCCTGTACATTAGGAATTTCTTCTCATTGTTTCAGTCATTGGCAATAATTGCTTAAGTCAGTTAAAATTATAAAGTCAAATGTTCTATTTGTGGGCCATTTGGACTTATTATCCAATTCGTATTGTGGCCAGATCGAATTGCAAAAAAAAGATGAGGTGCTTAGGGTGGATATCTTGCCTGAGGCCTAAGGTTTGCAGCTTTTTTTATGAGGCAGCCTAGAGGGCTGTCCTTTGGAATGGAACACCAGGAATTTCCCATAATGGTGGGTAGACTTGGGAGAAGAGGGAAAAGGAGACCATCCTGGATGGCAAGAGGGAAACGATAAAAGGAATGAACATCACTGCTGCCTTTTTTATTCCCAGAATGGGATCAAATGGCTCAGAGGTGTCCCCCTAAGACCTGATGATCAGCGAGTGCCTGGCACACGGGAGACCCTTCTTGGACCAAGGTTGGATTTTTGGACCAGAGAAATCAATAGAGTCCATGCAGATTTTTCTCTGTTAACTGGGCTCCCAGGAAACTTACCAGTAGGTGAGATTAGTTAACCAATGTGCACATACAGAGAGGTGATGAGGCTGAGGATCTTCCTTTGTCCAGTTGCAGTGGCCTGCTCTCCAGGGTGGAGGGGTAGGTCCACTGGGACATGGACTGGAACCCCTCCTGGGTTTTGGCACCAGATGTAAGGCTCTGTTACTGGTTTGAACCCTGAGAGCATACCAACAAACAACATAAGGCAATGTGGAGTAACACACTGATTTGTTTGTTTGTTTGTTTTTGGTTCTTTTTTTTTTTTTTTTTTGCTTTTCATACATATATTTTTTATTTTTAATATATATTAAATAAAATCCGCATCAAACAGCTTTGTTTTCCCCACCCCTTTTCTTTTAATTATATATATATATAATTGCATTTTAGATTCTGGGGAACATGTAAAGAATATGCAGGATTGTTCCATAGGAACATATATGCATACATGGTAATGTGGTTTGCTGCCTCCATCCCCATCACCTGTATCTGGCATTTCTCCCCATGTTATCCTACCCCCCACTGCCCCTCCCCTAGTCCCCCCACACAGACCTCAGTGTGTGATGCTCCCCTCCTTGTGTCCATGTGTTCTCCTTGTTCAACACCTGCTTAGGAGTGAGAACATGTGGTGCTTGATTCTCTGTTCCTGTGTCAATTTGCTGAGAATGAAGGTTACCAGGTTCATCCACATCCATACAAAGGACATGAATTTATCATTTTTTATGGCTGCATAGTATTCCATGGTGTATATGTGCCACATTTTCCCTGTCCAATCTATCATCGAAGGGCATTTGGGTTGGTTCCAAGTCTTTGCTATTATAAACAGTGCTGCAATGAACATACATGTGCATGTGTCCTTACAATCAATTTATAATCCTTTGGATATATACCTAGTAATGGGATTGCTGGGTCAAATGGAATTTCTATTTCTAGGCCCTTGAGGAATCACCACACTGTCTTCCACAATGGTTGAACTAACTTATACTCCAACAGTGTAAAAGTTTCCATATTCCACCACACCCTCTCCAGCATCTGTTTTCTCCAGATTTTTTAATGATCACCATTCTAACTGGTGTGAGATAGTATCACAATATGATTTTGATTTGCATTTCTCTAATGAATGGTGATGATGAGCATTTTTTCATATGTTTGTTAGCCTCATATATGTCTTCTTTTGAAAAGTGTCTGTTCATACCCTTTGCCCACTTTTTAATGGGCTTGTTTGTTTGTTTGTTGTACATCTGTTTTAGTTCTTTGTAGATTTTGGATATAAGTCCTTTGTGAGATGGGTAGATTGCAAAAATTTTATCCCATTCTGTTGGTTGCCAGTTCACAGTTCACTCTAATGATTCTTTCTTTTGCTGTGCAGAAGCTCTGGAATTTCATAAGATCTCATTTGTCTATTTTGGCTTTTGTTGCCAATGCTTTTGATGCTTTAGTCATGAAATCCTTGCCTATGCCTATGTCTTGAATGGTTTTGCCTAGGTTTTCTTCTAAGGTTTTTATGGTGTTAGGTCTTATGTTTAAGTCTTTAATCCATCTGGAGTAAATTTTAGTGTAAGATGTCAGGAAGGGGTCCAGTTTCAGTTTTCTGCACATGGCTAGCCAGCTTTCCCAATGCCATTTATTAAACAGGGAATCCTTTCCCCTTTGCTTGTTTTTGTCAGTTTTGTCAAAGATCAGATGGATGTAGAAGTGTGGCATTGCCTCCAAGGCCTCTGTTCTGTTCCATTAGTCTATATCTCTATTTTGGTACCAGTATCATGCTGTTTTGATTACTGTAACCTTGTAGTATTGTTTGAAGTCAGGTAGCATGATGCCTCCAGCTTTGTTCTTTTTGCTTAGAATTGACTTGGCTATGCAGGCTCTCTTTTGGTTCCATATGAAGTTTAAGAAGTTTAAGTGAAGAAGATCACTGGTAGCTTGATGAGAATAGTGTTCAATCTATAAATTACTTTGGGCAGTATGGTCATTTTCACAATATTGATTCTTCCTAACCATGAGCATGGAATGTTCTCCATCTGTTTGTGTCCTCTCTTATTTTGTTGAGCAGTGGTTTGTAGTTCTCCTTGAAGAGGTCCTTCACATCCTTTGTTAGTTGTATTCCTAGGTATTTTATTCTCTTTGTAGCACTTGTGAATGGCAGTTTGTTCTTGATTTGGCTCTCTTTAAGTCTGTTATTGGTGTATAGGAATGCTTGTGATTTTTGCACATTGATTTTATATCCTGAGACTTTGCTGAAGTTGCTTATCAGTTTCAGGAGATTTTGGGCTGAGATGATGGGGTCCTCTAGGTATACTATCATGTCATCTGCAAATAGAGACAACTTGGCTTCCACCTTTTCTGGATTGACTACCCTTTATTTCTTTTTCTTGACTGATTGCTCTGGCTAGAACTTCCAATACTATATTGAATAGGAGTGGTGACAGAGGGCATTCTTGTCTAGTGCCAGATTTCAAAGGGAATGCTTCCAGTTTTTGCCCATTCAGTATGATATTGGCTGTGGATTTGTCATAAATAGCTTTTATTATTTTGAGATTCATTTAATCAATACCTAGTTTATTGAGTGTTTTTAGCATAAAGGGCTGTTGAATTTTGTCAAATGCCTTCTCTGCATCAATTGAGGTAATTGTGGTTTTTGTCTTTGGTTCTGTTTATGTGGTGGATTACGTTTATAGACTTGCATATGTTGAAAAATCCTTGCATCCCTGGGATGAAGCCTACTTGATCATAATGGATAAACTTTTTCATGTGCTGTTGCAATCAGTTTGACAGTATTTTATTGAAGATTTTGGCATCTATGTTCATCATGGATATTGGCCTAAAGTTTTCTTTTCTTGTTGAGTCTCTGCCAGGTTTTGGTATCAGGATGATATTGGTCTCATAAAAAGATTTGGGAGGATTCCCTCTTTTTGGATTGTTTGGAATATTTTCAGAAGGAGTAGTACCAGCTCCTCTTTGAATGTCTGGTAGAATTCAGCTGTGAACTCATCTGGACTTGGGCTTTTTTTGGTTGGTAGGCTATTAATTGCTGCCTCAACATCAGCCCTTGTTATTGGTCTATTCAGGGATTCAAATTCTTCCTGGTTTAGGCTTGGGAGGGTGTAAGTGTCCATGAATTTATCCATTTATTCCAGGCTTACTGGTTTATGTGCATACAGTTGTTTGTAGTAATCTCTGATGATGGTTTGCATTTCTGTGCAATCTGTGATGATATCCCCTTTATCATTTTTATTGCATCTGTTTGATTATTCCCTCTATTCTTTTTTATTAATCTGGCTGTGGTCTGTCTATTCTGTTGATCTTTTCAAAAACCAGCTCCTGGATTTATTGAGTTTTTGAAGGGTTCTTTGTGTGTGTGTATCTCTATCTCCTTCAGTTCTGCTCTGATCTTAGTTATTTCTTGTCTTCTGCTAGCTTTTGAGTTTTTTTGTTTATCTTGCTCCTCTAGCTCTTTCAATTTTGATGATAAGGTGTCAATTTTAGATCTTTCCTTGCTTCTCATGTGGGCATTTATTGCTATAAATTTTCCTCTAGACACTGCTTTAAATGTGTCCTAGAGATTCTGGTACATTTTGTCTTCATTCTCGTTCATTTCAAAGAACATCTTTATTTCTGCCTTCATTTCATTGTTTATCCAGTTAACATTCAAGAGCCAGTTGTTAAGTTTCCATGAAGTTGTGTGGTTCTGAGTTAGTTTCTGAATTCTGAGTTATAATTTGATTGCATTGTGATCTGAGAGACTGTTATGATTTCCATTCTTTTGCATTTGCTGAGGAGTGATTTACTTTCAATTATGTGGTCTGTTTTAGAGTAGGTGTGACATGTTGCTGAGAAGAATGTATATTTTGTGGATTTGGGGTGGAGAGTTCTGTAAATGTCTATTAGGTTTGCTTGATCCATGTCTGAGTTCAAGTCCTGGATATCCTTGTTAATTTTCTGTCTCATTGATCTATCTAGTAATGTCAGAGGAGTGTTAAAGTCTCCTACTATTGTTGTGTGGGAGTCTAAGTTCCTTTGTAAGTCATTAAGAACGTGCTTTAGGGTTCCAAAGTGGCTCCCGCCAGAGGTCATGGCGCTCGCGAAGGCAAGGTCATCAGTTCAAGGCTAACCTGAGCAACCTCATAAGCTCAAACTGATTGGCAAAAGAAAAAAAAACAAAAAAAGAACGTGCTTTACATATCTGGGTGCTCCTGTATTGGGCATTTATATATTTAGGATGGTTAGCTTTTCTTGTTGCATTGATCCTTTTACCATTATGTAAGGCCCTTCTTTGTCTCTTTTGATCTTTGTTGGTTTAAAGTCTATTTTATCAGAGACTAGGATTGCAACTCCTGCTTTTTTTTTTTTGCTCTGCATTTGCTTGGTAGATCTTCCTCCATCCCTTTATTTTGAGCCTATATGTATCCTTGCATGTGAGATGGGTTTTCTGGATACAGCAGATCACTGTTTTTTGACTTTTTATCCAGTCTGTGTCTTTTGACTGGGGCATTTAGCCCATTTACATTTAAGATTAATATTGTTGTGTGTGAATTTGATCCTGCCATTTTGATGCTAGCTGGTTGCTTTGCCCATTAGTTGATTCAGTTTCTTCATCGTTTGGATGCTCTTTACCATTTGCTATGTTTTTGGAGTGGCTGGCACTGGCTGTTCTTTTCTATGTTTAGTGCTTCTTTCAGCACCTCTTATAAATCAGGCCTGGTGGTGATGAAGTCTCTGAGCAATTGCTTGTTCATAAAGGATTTTTTTTTTTTTCACTTATGAAGCTTACTTTGGCTAGATATGAAATTCTAGGTTGAAAGTTCTTTTCTTTTTTTTTTTTTTTTTTTTTTTTTTTGAGATGGAGTTTCGTTCTTGTTGCCCAGGTTGGAGTGCAATGGCGCAATCTCGGCTCACTACAACCTCCACCTCCTGGGTTCAGGCAATTCTCCTGCCTCAGCCTCCTGAGTAGCTGGGATTACAGGCACGCGCCACCATGCCCAGCTAATTTTTTGTATTTTTAGTTGAGACAGGGTTTCACCTTGTTGACCAGGATGGTCTCGATCTCTTGACCTCATGATTCACCCACCTTGGCCTCCCAAAATGCTGGGATTACAGGCTTGAGCCACTGTGCCCGGCCTGAAAGTTCTTTTCTTTGAGGATGTTGAATATTGACTTCCACTCTCTTCTGGCTTGTAGGGCTTCTGCTGAGAGATCCGCTATGAGTCTGATGGGTTTTCTTTTGTG